GCTGGTCCCTGGCCTTGTGTTGGGGAACCACGTTTCGAAGCGGGGCGGCTGGAGCTGGGGCTGGGGCTGGCGGGCTGGGCCAGGACCTGCTGGCGGGCTGGGACTGGAGCGGGGCTGGGGGGCTGGCTGGGGCTCGGCGCTGCGGTTGGCTGGGGACTGGGCCGGCTGGGGGCTGGAGCTGGTGCCTGGGCTGGGGCTGGGCTGGGGGCTGGGTTGGGCTGGGCCGGAGCTGGCCCTGAAAATGAAATTGGTTTAGACGAAAATAGCAAGCTGTGTCCCGATTTGACCGAAAGTGTTGACCGAGTTTTTGTTTTGGAACCATATTTTGAATGTGGGGGCTCGGCTGTGGGCTGGGCTTGGCTGGGCTATTTGGAAGCGGAGACCGAAACGTTTTGACCGAGTTTTTCGTTTTGGAACCACATTTTGTGTCGGGCCGGCTGGGGCTGGGGCTGGGGCTGGGGGGCTGGGCCGGGGGCTGCTGGGGGGCTGGACTGACAGCTGGCTGCTGGGCTGGGTTAACTGAAAGTTTTGACCGGGTGGGCTGCGGCTTGCAAAGCAGGACCTGCGCTGTCGCGGCATACAATTTCTATTTATCCTGTCTTGAGGGTTTAGGGTTTGGGGTTTAGGGTTTAGGGTTCATGGTTAGGGTTTAGGGTTCAGGGTTTAGGGATCCAAGCAAAGAAAGAGACCGGACCGGCCAAGCATCTTGTCGTGTGCCTCGACGGAGTTGGCGACGGCCTCACATCCACTCTGTGTGGGGCCCCGACTCCCACGCAAACCCTAATACCCAAACCCTAAGCCCTAAATCCTAAACCCTAAAACCCGAACCCTAAACCCTAAACCCTAGCCCCTAAACCCGAACACCCTAACACCCAAACCGCCGCAAAAGCCCTAAAAGGCCCAAACCTCTGCAGGCCCGCTACACCTCATCAAAAGCTTTCGATTCCTGATATCCTAAACTCTAGGCCCTGGACCCTCGCCGAGGCTGTAGCTCCTTAGTGCACTTTATGGATAAACACTAAGGCCCCTAGATCATAGAAACTTTGCAGAACCCTGGTAATAAACCCGTAGAGAGCCCCTTCAAAATAAAAGCCCTTAAGGAACACCCTACACCCTAAACCCTGTGACAACGCCTGGAACTTCTCGCCGGGGAAGCGGAAGCCGAGGTCCGTGGCGATCCAGCCCACCGTCGCCAACCTCGGTTGCAACAGGAAAGGAGGCCCCAAAACCAAAACCTTCAAGGCCCTAAACCCATAATCCAAAAAAACAAAACCCTAAACCCTAAACCCATAGCCCAAAAACCTAAACCCAAAACCCAAAGTCGCTAAGTTTTAGCTTGGGGGGAAGGGCTCAGAGCTTGGATACTTAGGGGCTTCTTTATGCAGGCTGTCATGTGCAGAAATGCCCTCGCCCCACAGAGCGGCTGGATTTCGGCGCCTCTGGCCTAAACCCGCCTGTAAACCCTCAAGCTTTAGGGCCTTAGGGCTAGGATTCTAGGACTTAGACCACCGGTCCTCCTCTTCACCGAAAAACTCCGTAGCCCGATACTCGAATTTTTTCACCAGGAAGCCAAGGAATCCAAAGCCCGATGCCAAAAGCCCGAAGAACCGCACGCAAAGTCTACACCCTAAACCCTACAACCCCTCAACCCGAGACCCTGTAGCCCTGAACCTGGCAACCCTAAACCCTACAACCGCTATAATCCCCCCGCAAACCCTAGGGTCTGATAAGGACATTTGGCAAGTCGGCTGTTGAGGAATCTTAGTCGGTCGAATCATCAGAAGAAATGTCCACCTTTGAGGTAAGAAACTTCAGAAGTAGCTTCAGAGCTTCAAAGCGGGTAAACGTATGCGACCGAGCACCTCTCCCTCGCTCCGAAAGTTGAAGCTGCTCTCCCAACGAGGCCGGCGCAGAATCAGAGGGAGGCTTTGGGGTAGATGACTGTATGTGGGTACTTCTCAAAATTAGGGTCCCTTTTCAGGGTCCTTTGCATAAGGGTGCCGTACTAGTTTGGGGACTCAAAGGGGGATCCTAACTTAGAGAACTACCCATGCGACGATCTAGGGACTGCAAGGGGACCTTCGTGCCAGTCTTCGGACATCTGCAACTGCCATCTAACCCCTTCGGTTTGTGTTTACCTCCCCGCCCCTGATCCCTGGTGAACTCAAAAGTCGCAACCCTACTACATGCCAATGGGTAGTTATCTAAATTACGGCCCCTTTTCGGGTCCTTTTTATACAAGGGTGCCGTACTTTATTTGGGATCTAAAAAGGGGCCCTACTTTAGAGAACTTTCCCCCAATGGTAAACCGTAAAGCCCTAAAGGCGCAAATCCTGAGCCGGAAGCCCCAAACCTCGACTTTCCATGGAAAGCTTCGACTGTGGCTGTCTAGAAGCTGTGCTACCAGAAGTCTTCAAAAAAGAGAGAACAATACCCTAACCGCCCAACTACCTACTACATAGATAGGTACTAGAGCCCCTAGGGCCCTATATAGCAGGTACCTGGATTGTTAGGGATAGTGTTAAAATAGCAGCGATAAAAATACTGAAATCAAAAAGGAATTAAATACGAAGAATGATAACAAGAACAACAACAAAGACAATAGCACTAATGGTAATACTGCTCATGGTCAGAAGCTTCGGCCGAGGGGCATGGCGATGCGTCCGTGCTTCAGCTCGGCCTCTGCGATATCGAGCTCAAAGCGGCTTAGGGTGCAGGGTTTAGAGATGCTTCTAGGGCCTTGTGCGAAAGCAAATGGAAGCGCTTTTTTCTTGCATCGTCTGCCAAAGTCTGGAGGCCCGATGTACGAGGCACGAAAGGCGGTTTCAGGCCAATTCATCTCAATGCGTGGCACGTCGGACATTCGGCTCCGACAATTCCGTATTCCAGGTCGGGTGTGACCATTCCGGTTCCCGTGGCAGATGAAGTGAGATGTCAACCCACGTCTCTATGCTAGTCCTGCAGCATCACATTTCAAGCTTCAGATGCCGCCACGAGATAGTTGAGGCCAGAGAGTGTTTATGGTTCATGCTCGAATCACAGCCGGAACGAAATCCACGTTTCAACAGGGCAGGATGCACGTAAGGAAAATAGAGCTGAGCTTTGTCCATCAACGCGTTCCGTCCGGCTGCAAAACTTGCCATGTCTGCACAACGGCGGTGCAAATTTTGAGACGAAAAGGTGGCGTGAAGAGAGAACCCGAATTCACTGGAAACAGAGACCGAGACGTACTGAATGAGGCGAGGCTGCAAATTAAAACATGATCCCATGGTGCTATGATGAAAAAACTGCCGGCTGTCTTCGCTTCATGATACTGCTTCGGAATTCCGGGTTCGCCCGGGCCGTATACAGAGGCCTATAGATGACAGAACCCTGAAGAACACTACGTCACTACCACTTACCCTTCAGACCCCTGTATGAAGCCCTAAAGTGAAAGAGAGACGATGTCATCGGATGCCGCGCCCCACGGCTTGGAGATGCCAATTCAGCACCTCCGAAATCTGTCCACTTCTCGTGTGTGCACGGAAGCTCCAACCCATCCTGCAGCATGGCACATATGTCTGACAGGACAACGGCAACGGCTTCGGGCTGCTATGGTTTCTAAGTTTGAGATTCTCTTGGTGCAGATTCTAAAGTTTTACGCTAAGGAGTTTAATTTAAGGCTCAGGGCTTTAGAGTCTGTTGCGGTTTAGGAGGGAAGTAGGTAGCTGAATGAAGTCCACGCCTCAACCGAGCCACCTCGAACCCTAAGCCCTAAACCCCTAAACCCCTAAACCCCCTAAACCCCCCTAAACCCCCTACACCCCCTAAACCCAAAACCCATGACTCAAACCTCAGAGCTCGGCCTGGCCTCAGCCACTCGTCACGAAGAGCTGCGGCTCGTCGCCAGAGTTCGTCGTCGAAAGCTGGGAGTGGGTCGAGGGAGTCAACTTCACCTGCTGAACACGCGAACCACGGTTTAGGGTTTAGGGTGGAAGGCTTAGGGGTTTAGGGCTTAGGGTTTAGGGTTTAGGGCTTAGGCAAAAGGCATTTAAACAACACCAAAACCCTGGAAGACCTGGCGGAGGGTTGCAAAAAGGACACTCTCCCTCCGTTTCAAAAACACCCCAAACCGAACTCTAAACTCCGAGCACCCCAGCCCTGAACCCGAGCCCTAAACCCCAAAAGCAAAACCTCCAGGCCCAAACCCTAACCCCCCAACCTAATGTAGGAACCTGATTAAGAAACCCTGGCCCTATAACCCCCCCCAAACGGTAGGATCCATACGAAGAACCCGAATAAACGAGACAGAGTTTCTTAGTCAGGCTCCAATATTAACCCAAACCCTAAAACCCTAAACCCTAAAACCCTAAACCTAAAACCCTAAACCCTAAAACCCTAAACCCTGAACCCCTAACCCCTAAAACCCAAAAAAAAACCTACACCCCCAACCCTAAAGCCCCAAATAAAGCAACTTCGCGCCCGGCGGCCACCGAGGCCCGCTCTTGCCGATCGTGCGAGCTCCACGAGCTTCAGGAGGTCTCCCTGAAAAGCCTGGGCTCTTGTTGGGGAGCACGGTTTAGTAAGTTACCATAATTTGGGGGAGGGTGCATTTAAGCCAGGTTCAACTTACAAAATTTAAGTTACGATAATTTGGGTGTTCACTTTTGGTTCTTTCAAGGTGTAGGGGTTAGGAATCATATTTAGGTTGCCACCATAAGGAAACACGAATATTTACCATAGGTTATATGGTAACTCAATTAATTGCCCCAATAAGAGCCCAGAAGCGCGTGCGAGAGTCTCGATCTGCTCGCGGATCACCTCACGCACTTCCTGAGCTCTTGCACGGAGTTGAAAGCAAGTTAAGAGCTCTTGGTAATGACGATTTGATGAGGGTTTGCCAGGGTTTTATCCAGCTTCACAGGGTGGTTCTAAAGTCGCTTGCAAGGTTTCAGCGACATGAAGTTAAGTTGCTAGATTGAGGGTACGATAATTGTGTAGTTGATCCCTGTTACGGTAACTTAGATGAAGTTACTGTTTAAGAGCCCAGCTTCGATCCACACATCTACACGCAGCTCTGGCCCCCCCATTACGCGCACGCGCCCATGTTCGTAGTGCTCGGCAAATTCTTCAGCATAGGACAAAGCATTTCTGCCATGTTGGTTCTGATGGCACAGCTCTTCCAGACTGAATCTTCGAGCCAGAGAGATGCAAAGCCTCCCTTCAGCATCCTCTTTCCCGTCCAGTGCTGCGATGTGGTTTGCCGGCTCAATGATATACTGGAGAAGGTTGTCGTTGAATGGGCCTATGCAGCCAGCCCAACACCATTTCGGCAGGCCCTTATCGATGAGTGCCATCAGCAGTTCTGCTCCAAGCGCACACCAGATACCTCCCCAGACGCCTGATGGGCGGTTCCTGAAAGGGTACTTCCGCCCCTTCACGAGAGTCCAAAGCTTGCTTTTAACCGTCTCACTTTGAAAGACATCAAAGGATTTCTCCACCGTGCCAACATCCATCTTCTCCCTGACCAGATCGATCGTCGCACCTGCACATGTCCGGTGAAGAAACTCAATGAAGTGACACCCAGGAAGGTGCCCGTCGTGGAAGTGAGTCGCCCCAATCAAGCCGGCCGTGCCACGAGGACGAGCGTAGTCTTCCGCGTCATCGTCAATTGCGTGAAGGAGGCTCAAGCAGCGGGTAAGAAAGGTTGTTTTATGGGCACATGATAGACGGTCTGGCATCACATTCACCTCGCTTCGTGGAAGGTTACGCATCGCCGTGGTCCAGGCAGTGAAGACATGCTCCAGGAAGGCTTGGCCCCGTTGCCTGCAAATTGCGAAAGCAAACGACATGATGAGCTTCGCATCCAGCAGCTCATCGAGGTCCTTGTAGCAGAAGGTCAAATCATCACTGGGCGGTAGCTCTTCTGCAGCAAGTGACATCACGTCCGAAATCAGGTACTGAATCGAGCCTCTCATCCAGGTGAGGAGGTGCATGACACTGAACCGCATCTGATCTAGAATGTTTACTACCTCTTCCAGCCGTGGTTGACAAGAAAAGAGCACCAGAGCCTTTACCAGTGTATCTGAACATTGTCATCTACGTGCTTGCCGAACCATACAATGCAGCCAAAACTGTCACCATCGCGCAGCCCCAAGACCCTACACACCACACCGTAACCCTAGACCCGAAAGCTAGACCCCCAAGCCGAAAGCACCACGCAGCACCCCTAAACCCTGAACCCTAGGCCTAAACCCCACGCCCCTACACCCCAAACTTTCAACCCCTAGGCCCCTAAAACCCAATCCCTAAACCCTGAAGCCTAAACCCTAAACCCTAAACCCCCAAACCCTAAATTACTAAACCCCAA